ACATTAAATAAATGTACAGATGTTACATACCTGTTACATAAATGTACATTGGTGTTACACTTTTAGTATCTATGGCTACATTTTCTCTTGCCACACTGATAATTCTTGCCATAAAGANGATTGAGACATGTTCAGTTCAAAATTAATGAGCAGCTACAGTAACTAAATTTTAACTGTGGTTACTCTTAATTAATTCACTTAAAAATGTGAAATGTGTGCTACTGCTGTTGTACTCAGGTAACAAATTTTGCTATACAGCTGTGCCTGGCTATTTAGACCTTATGTAGTCCCACCCCCACACTCTACTGAGTGAAGCCTGCAGCCACTGTTCTTGTGAGTCACTTTTTAAAAATTGCTAAAAGTAGCCAAATGAATGTTAAAAATTGCTAAATTTGTTGCTAGGTGCTTTTTGAAAAAAAAAAGTTGCTAGGGTAGTATGAAAAGTTGCTAAAGTTGCTAAAGTTAGCAACACTGGCTCTTTTTTTAAAAAAAAACCCGCCCCTCTCTTCATTTAACCTGATGCTGATTAGCGTGACCTGGATTGAGCTTGTTAAAAATAACCCCACTGGTTGCGTGTCTGCTGCTGTGCGTTTCCGACACGGCAGCCACAGGTAATCGCCGCCAATAAAGTCAATGCATCAGTTTACACCAGATCCGCTGCGTTGCGTCTCCGCTACGTCTCTGTTCCGTCACATGTCCTGCAGTCCGTCGAGATGCGCATCAAGTCTATTTTTGACGGATACAGATCAAGAACGCAACACAGAGCGCATGCGCCAACTCCCCTTCACATCATGGACGACAAAAAGTTAATTTTGGAGGTGGAGAAACACGGAATTGTGTACGGCCGCAGACATCCTTTTTACAAGGATAATAATAGAAAGGAGAAGGCGTGAAACTGCAGAAGTTTTGGGATTTGACGGTAAGTTGAATCTTCCAATTAACTATGTAAATACTTGATTTTTAATGAAAGTAACCTGTACTGTGAAGTACTTGTAAACTCCTAATAAAGTGTTCAGTAACCTATATGGGAGTGACACATTATTTTATCCATAGAAACATAGATAAATGTTATGTTAAATGTTATTCTCCCGTGGTCATGTGATCTCGCAAACCAGCGGCGCGCCGGATCGGATACGGACCACAAACGCGTCCAGTGTGAATTGGTGGACGGCCTCGGACAGAATGCGAATGCAGCGCAGTCGCACCGCAGCGGATACGCATCCAGGGGTAAGACGCCGTCTCGTGGGCGGGCTTTTTCGGAAGACAAGGTGTTCCGGCCACTGTCGTCCTTAATGTTTAGGCAGCTCAAAAACCCGGACAATTCTATAAACATTAATAAAACGGCTCTTGAACAGGAGCCGGCTCCCATCATTCACTAAAAAGAGTTGGCTCAAAGAGTCGTCTCATTTGCGAACGACACATCACTAGTAATGAGGCATGAACCCTTGTGTCAGTGGGCTCTTTGCACGTCAGCTTCCGCGTTCATGGAAATGCGGCTTAATCATTTCTGGTCTGTGAAAAATGGCATTGGTTTATATGGCGTAAAATTAGTGCCAAAACTTGCGCACATAAAAACCGCGCGCGTATGCACTCGCGAGCAGAAAATCCATGCTCTTTATGCGCTCGTGTCTGCACAGCACTCGCTCGCTCGACAGGATGAATTTTGACACTTTGGAGGTGGGAACAGTGGCTAATATCTCCGCTCCTTTGATTGTTTTTTTAAAATATTGACTATGATTGGCTATTTGCTTTGGTAGAAGATGAAGATAACTTGTCACTGACCGCTTTTAAGTTAGCCTCATATGGATTTTCATATTATTTTTGTCTGTAATAGTCATTAATTATTATATTGCATCTACTTAAAGTGCAATGGAGCAACAACTAAGGGGTTAATAGCTCTAAAACAAAATGGGACAGCCATGTCCTATGGAGTGTGTTTTCATCAGTGGACTCTGGGGGATAATAAGCACACCCCTTGGATTTTCAAGATCCGTGTGAAGAAACACGTAATCAAACAATTCAACTGCTGTATATTTGCTTTGTCCCACGGTGCACTGCCTAAATCACACTTTACAACTTATGGATTAATTTGTGTTATCAATTAACTGTCAATATGGATGAAGCCCACAAGCCCGCGTAGATAGGGTCCAGCGAACGCGAGCGCATAGAGAGGATGGGTTTTCAGCTCGCTAGCGCACACGCGCACGTGGTTTGACTTTTGGCACTAATTTAACGCCGAGCGAGCGAGTGCTGTGCAAACGCAAGCGCGTAGAGAGCATTTATTTTCTGCTCGCGAGCGCATACGCTCGTGGTTTTTATGCGCACTAATTTTATGGCACTAATTTAACGCCATACACACGTCAAGTTACTCGCAGTTACCCCGATAAGCCAGTAACCCTGCTTCGTAGTACAGGCCACAGTACTAGCAAAGATCCTTATTCAACACAACATTACAGCAAACTACAGCAACAAAAGATGCATTTTAACAAGAAGGAGCTTTAATAAGAATAAGGTAACATTCCTCCTCCATTTTCACAGGCAACTACAAAAGCTCCACAGAAGAATATCTGATGGGCCGAATGAAATAAACGTGATTG